GGAGCCCCCTCCCCATGGGGCCCGCATTTCATATTTTTAATCCGAGCGGGTCATCCTCGAAATTGTAACTGTCGTCAATTTTGAACTCCTGAGGCCTGAATGCGGGGGAAGTCTCAGGCGGGAGCCTCATTTGTGAGTGAACTATGAGGAAGTCTTAGGCGGGAGCTCCTTCCCTATGGGGCCCGCACGACAGTGAGTTTTTTGTTTGTTTCCAGATTAGCCGAAAGGATTGTCATATGGGGTCTTTCCGTCAGAGTATTTGTTGTCCAAAATCCGCCTGTACGGGGACAGGCCCGACCTAACTCTTGGGTCATCTTGAAGGTCGTCTCGGTCCATTCGGGCCTTCGTGAAGGCCTCGACGGCTCTCTTGGACCATCGTTTTCGGGCCGTCCGGCGCCTTCGGAAGCTGTCGTGGGGGAATAGTTGCAAGTTCTCGGGGACATTTCTGGGCTCTTAGTGCCATGTTGGGGTTGTCTTGGGGCCATCTTGAGGCTCTCTTGGGCCATCTTGGGGTTGTCTGGGGGCCATCTTTGGCAGTCTTGGTCCCTCCTGTGGGCGTCTTAAGTTGACATGTGGCGATCTCGGGGCTCTCTTGGGCCGTCTGGGTTTTTCGGAACCCCGAAAAGACGAGAACGTGAAAACCTTCGATTGACGTTGGAGAATTAAATCGGTTTGGCCTTCTGGGGGTCCCGCGGATGTCCTCTTGGCACGTCTTGAGGCTGTCTTGGATCCATCTTGGGCAAACTTGAAGGCCTCGTGGACCCAGTTTGGGCAGTCTGGAAAGTCTTGTGCCGTCTTGCAGGTCGTCTTGGACCATCTTGGCCGCATTGGATGTGGGTTTTCTTTGTTTTGTGGTTCCCCTGGCAGATGGACGGGCTCACAAGATGTTATAATATTTTGCACGCCGAGCAGCCCCGTGGTAAGCCAAAGGGAGCCGCGGATCGAAGACGTCTGCACCGAACCGACGCCGACTCCGTTTTTGTGGGGGGAAACGCCAAAGTCTGACCAAGGATATTGGACTATGTGTTCCCCTAGCCGTTGTGTTAAGCCCAAAGTGGTGGAGGAAGGCGGAGCATGCGGAGGAGCGGGAGGAGGAGGAGGAGGAGGAGGAGGAGGAGGAGGAAGATGAAGAGGAGGAGCCTTGGGGAGCATGAGGAGGAGGAGGAGGAGGAGGAGGGGGATGGGGGAGCGGGAGGAAAAAGACGAGGAGGAGGAGAAGGAGGAGGAGGAGGAGGATGACCAGTGTAAACCCAAGAATCATCAACGACGTTGGAATATACCCTCCATCTAAGCTCCCTCTTCACAGGACCCTGCAGCTTGAGGGAATTGTCTCGTTAGGAGACAACCGTTTGACGACCCTGAGGCATACCAAACCATTCTTCTCGGGACTCCAACGTCACGGATCCACCTGACTGCTGCGAGCTGACGATCCTGACTCGTGCCAGAACGCCATTCTGGATTTCAACACAGAGAATCGACGTAATTCAGTTTCGAGGAGGAGGAGGAGGAGGAGGAGGAGGATACGAGGAGGAGGAGGAGGAGGAGGAGGAGGAGGGGGAGGCTGAAAAGAGGGAGGAGGATGGCGGTCGGAGAGGGGAGGCGCTTAAGACGCGCCAGAACAAGGAGGGGATCCAAGAGCTTTCCGTGTAGCCAGATCCCAAACACAGTTTCAGGTACGATGATGCTGGGAGCCTGTGGAACTCTTTGCAACTGTTCCAAACGAATGTGCGCCGCGCTCAGGCGAGAACCACATTTTGAAAACCACCCGCCCTCAACCCGTGGAACTCTTGCAACTGTTCAAAACGAATGTGCACCGCGCTCAGGCGAGAACCACATTTTGAAAACCACCCGCCCTCAACCCGTGGAACTCTTGCAACTGTTCAAAACGAATGTGCGCCGCGCTAAGGCGGGAGCCACATTTTGAAAACCACCCGCCCTCAGCCCGAAACGCTTGCGAATGTTTAAACCGAATGCGCGCCGCGCTATGGCGAGAGCCATGTTTTGAAAACCGCCCGCCCTCCATCTGTGAAAGTGTTGCCAGTTGTTAAGCTTCAGAGTCGTAAATGGTGAAGAAGCCTCAGGGGAAACGCCCGACCCGCCCTAAAAACTCGGCTCGGGGTGCGACAGGGAGAAGTCATTTACAAGGAAAAGGAATGGAGGAGGAGGAGGAGGAGGAGGAGGACGAGGAGCCCTGGGGAGCTTGAGGAGGAGGAGGAGCATGAGGAGGAGGAGGAGGAGGAGGAGCATGAGGAGGAGGAGGCGGAGCATGAGGAGGAGGAGGAGGAGGCGGAGGAGGAGGAGGCGGAGGAGGGGGAGGAGGAGGAGGAGGACGAGGCCGCTCGGGCTCCCCTTGGGGCCTCCTTTGGGGCCTCCTCGAGGCCCCTGGGCCTCCCGGGGCCGCCCCTCCGGCAGTCGTGAGGGCCTCTCCTGGCCGTCTCGCTGGCCGCCGTGGGTGTCTCGTGGGCGCTTTCTTGTTTTGTTTTCATGCCATTGCCGATCGGCGCGGGCCCGCGCACCCTCCCCTCCCCTCCCCCCTTCCTCCCATGGTGTAGATCTTGGCTGTTGCTTTGGCGCCCGTGTCGGGCAGGTGGAGCCTCCCCCACAGGACGGGCGGTCCCAAGCAGTCGCACTGGGCGGAGGTCCAGGGCCAGACCCCCACCCCTTCCCCCCGCCCCTTCCGCCCAATGTCGAAACGCCGGACGAAATCATTTCTCTTGTAAACAAAACCTTCACCTCTGGGGCCTTCCCGGGGTCCTTGTCAAGCTGTCTGGGGGCCCTCCTGGTCCGTCCTTGAGTCTCTCTTGGATGGGGGCTCTCGGGGCCGTCTTTGGGCTCCTCTTGGGCGGTCTTGGGGTTATCTTGGAAGCCGCGTGGGCCGTCTGAGGCTGTCGGCAGCCCGAAAAGACGCTGAGGAAAGCTTACACCTCAGGGGGAACAATATTTGTTGGCTTCTTCGGGCCCTCCTGGAGCGCTCGCAAGTCCGAAAAGGCAAGGATGTTCAAGTCATGCGTCGTACAACAAGTAGTTGATGGGGTCGGTGTTATTGCCATGAGCAGACCCCAGAGCTCCAAGATCACCCGAGACACCCCCGAGAGCTTCTGCGAGTGCCCTGAGCTGGAAGTTCGGGGCCCTCAGAGAACACTTGCACCAGTAACCAACATTGAGGACCAAAGAACCTGGAGACACTCCATTCAGTGCTCGTGGCACGGTGGCGGATCTGGAGCATCAAACATTGGTCCAGGCGTGCAGAGGACGCGGCGAGGAAGGCGAGGACGTCTGCACCGACGGTCAATGTTGTGATCAGCCTGGACGTCAAGGCGAACCGAATCCTTCCAGACTGGTGCCAGGACATCAAGGATGGCAAGTGGGGCAGAAGCGTGTCCGCTTCTGTTTACGTAAAAACGCCGGGCTTGGGCGCCGACGAGGACAAGCTGATTGAAAGCGGCGCCAACTTCGAAATGATCGCGATTCCCGACATCGGGCGAAACGAGCATGCTTACGTTTGGCACCTGGCGCGCAAGTCTAGAAACTCGTCCTTCGCAGGCGTCGAAGTTTTTACGAAAACGAATGGCAAGCATTGCTCCTATCGGTCAACCGGTAATTCGCATGGCCGTTGCGATCTCGGGTCAATGGTGCAGTATATGGTGGACGTGGCGCGGAATGACAGTTACGAGTCGGTGTCTTACCCCTGGGATTATGACCGTCGGTATTTGGACGTGCGGTGCGACCAGGCATGGAGTAACCATCCTCTCTACCATGAACTGTGCGAGGTGGAACAAGCGGGCAACAAGAGACATTATGATTTGGTCACCAGCACAAAGAGTTATAAGTATGGGCGCGCCCCTCTGCATATAATCCGAACGATGGTAACTACTACAGATGGCCCGGCCGATCTTCGCTTTGCGTTAGGAGCATTGCCGCGGCCGCTTCCCCTTATTCAATCGCTTCGCTCATTCCGCCGGCCCATGTTGCATGATCGTTACTGGTTCGCCGTGGGCCTGGGGCCATTGTGGCGCCGCCGAGGAGGAAGAAGATGAGGATGGGGAAGGGGAGGGGAGGAGGAGGAGAGGATGAGAACGAGAGGAGCAGGATGACGATACTTAGGAGGAGGAGGAGGAGGAGGAGGAGGAAGAAGAGGAAGGGGCGGAGGAGGAAGCCTCTCGTTGGCATCTTGTGTTGCTCTTGGGGCCAAACAGGGTCGTCGTCAAGATGCTTCTTTGGGAGGCATCTTGAGGCCTCTTGGGGTCTTTTGAGAAGCCGTTCGGGGGCGCCTGGGAGGCACTTTTTAAGCCTTCTGGGGGGCCTCCTGTGGGCCTCCTGGGGCCTCTTGGGGGCTTCTTGGCGGCATCTTGGGGCCTCTTGGGAGCCTCTCGGGGCCTCCTGGGGCCCTCTTGGGGCGGAAGGCGCGAGGTTCGGTTCGTGGTCCCCCTCTTGGGCCCCTCTTGGGGCCGTCTTGGGCCGTCTTGGGCGCCTCTTGGGCCGTCTCGGGGCCCTCTTGGGCTCTCTTGGGGCCCTCTTGGAAGCCTCTTGGCCCGTCTTGGGGCGCTCTTGGGGGCCTCTTGGGCCGTCTTGGAGCATCGGATGGCCGAACAGGGGGCACGGCCCGAATCCTTCCAAAACCATCGTAAAATTAATGATTTGGGCCTCTCGGGGCCCTCTTGTGAGGCCTCTTGGAGGCCACTTGGAGGCCTCTTGGGCCGTCTTGGGGTCATCATCGGCGTCTTGGAGCGCTCTTTGGGCGTCTCGGGGGCCCTTTGGGCAGTCTTGGGGGCCTCTTGGGGCACTCTTGGCGCGCTGTGGGGGGCCTGAGAAGCCACACCCAGGAGGAAAACCATCTCTGGGTAGCAGTGGTCGGGCTGCGGTCGGGGTACTTTTCGCCGGGAGACCCCCAGGGGCCGCCCCGCGCGCGCGAACTAGAAGTATTGTTAACCAGTTGCCAGAGATCTTAGCACGCCTCAGGCCCGTTGGGCCGGCGAATTCATGAGACGTACGGTGAAGGCATGTTCGCTGTTCGGCGGGACGTGTTGTCCAAGTTCTCCCCGACTTGGTACGACGAGTGGAGGAACGTCACCTATGCGTCGGTGAAGATGCGACCTCGTAACCCCGGTGACGCTGTTCTATTTGAATCGGAGCACGACGGGTTCCACCACGATTTTGCCATGATGGAGGTCTTCCCTATATTATTCGCAACCACGGCACAGGAGTTCCCTGCGTGGCTCGTTTCTCCAAGTACCGTAGACTTGTTCGACACTGTCGACGCGATGAAGAAGTTCAGCGAAGCTGATCGCTCTTTGCCTCTACTGGTGGACAGCTGGCAGATAGGGTATAACGTCAACAGGTCGATGTATGCCAATTCATCGTATGTCGACTCGCCTGTTCGCCTCAAGCGAAACGGAACATGGTGAGAATCATTCATAAGGGCCGACAGCGACCACCCATGAGATCGTCCACGGATGTTGGCACGACAGGGAGGGGGCCTCTTCTTTTACTCCCGAAGCCTTTTGTTGTGCTCGCAAGCGCGGTGTGGCACGCTCGCGAGATCATAGAACAAGGTGCGCGCGTGCTGGTCTGTGCTGATCTTTCCCAGGTCCCTCTTCGATGTCGCGCATCTCCACCATTTTGCCAAATTCCTGACGTGAGGCCTTCCAAACAAGGCCTTGTCTACGAGGGTCAAGGAGTTGCCATCTCTTCCTCGGCGGAAGGCGGCGGAAGGTCGGCGGAAGTAAAACGAGGCCGCGAAAGCCGGCGAAAGGCTGGCGGAAGGTGGCGGAAGTAAAAGATGCGCCCCCGAGAGATGAAAACGTTTTTTGGGTTCAGGGCTTCCGAAATCCGCCACATAATCAGGCTTCCTGGATCCGTATCGGAGACGCCTACGGCGAACCTCCGCTGCCCCTTGCGATTTGGAAGCGCCCCTTCGGGCCAACATTGGGCCGAAGGCTGGCCAGGCCATTGTACTATGTCTCCCCCATCCGCTGTGGAAGCCCTTGGGGGAATACCTGGGAGAGGAAGAGAACAAATGAGGAGAGGGAAGAGAAGAGGGCGAGGAGGAGGAGGAGGAGGAGGAGGAGGAGGAGGAGGATGAATAGGAGGCCTCTTGAGGCATTCTTGGGGCCTCCTTGGGGCTTCCTGAGCCGATTGGGGGCCTCTGAGGCCTCCAGAGACCTCCTGGGGAGCCTCTGGGGAGCATCTGGGGCGCTCCTGGGTGGGCCCTGAGGAGCCTCTTGGCCTCCGGAGGCTGTGTTGGGGCCCTCTCTGGGGAGTCGTGTCTGCCTCGCTGGTCGCTTTAGGGCCGTCTTAGAGGCTTGTGAGGCCATCCTGGGTGCCTCTTGGGTCGTCTGGGGCCCTCTGAGGCCGTCTTGCGGAGCCCATGGGTCCCCTTGGACGGTCAGACGCCCGAAACAGCGAGAATGCGACATTTATCGAACAGCCATGGGTACATCAATACTCCTGGCCTCCTGGAGGTCCTCTTGGAGCCCTTTTGGGGCGCCTCGGGGGCATCTTGGGCCGTCTGGAGCGCGTTTTCGGCCGTCTTTGGGCCATCTTGGCCGTCTTGGATGCGTCTTGGGACCATCTTCGAGGCGATCGTGGAGACCCATGGGGCCGTCTTGGAGCGTCGCAGGCCCGAAAAAGCGAGAATGCCAAATTCACTGAACACATCGGGAAGTCCATGATTTGGGTCTCGTGGGAGGTTCTCTTGGGGCCGTCTTTGGGCCCCTTCGAGGCCATCTTTTGACGTTGTGTCTGCATCTTGGGACCGTCTTTTTTTTACAACACAGCCTAAGTCACTCGTGAGGTGCCAAGGCACCTCGTAACGACCGCGCACGAAAGGACAGTATTTGAGCCAACGCCTGAACAGCCTCTGCTAGAAATGAAGATACAGGGTCAGACATGCTACTGTCTGTGGTCAGAGCACAACGCGGTCCTTTGTAATTCAGGCTTGGGGCCGTCTTGGGGACATCATCGGGCCCGTCCTGGACTCTCCTGGGGCCATGCCGGCTCTTCCTGTAGGCCATCTTGGCCGTCTTGGCGGCCCTCTTGGGGCCACCGGGAGCGGACACGAGGAGGGGGAGGAGGAGGAGGAGGAGGCGGAGGAGGAGGAGGAGGAGGAGGAGGAGGAGGAGGAGGAGGATGCGGAGGAGGAGGAGGCAGGAGGAGGAGGAGGCGGAGGAGGAGGAGGAGGAGGAGAAGCCTTTGCCTCCCGCTTCCGTAAAGCAAGCTTTCCAGGCGACCGTGGCGGGATCGGCCGTGGCCCCCTTGGAACCGTGCTGGAAGGGCCAGAGCATCCAGAGCTTCGGCACGACGTGCACCCCTGTGGCAAGTCTCCTTCTCCTTCTCCTCCTCCTCCTCCTCTTTCGTGCTCCTTCTTTCTCCTCCTCGCTCGTCGCTCCTCCTCGCTCCTCGCTCCTCGCTCCTTCCCCTCCTCCTCGCGGAGGAGGAGGAGGAGGGCGAGGAAGGGGCGGCGTATCTAGCGGCTTTCTGCCCATCCCGCCACCGTGCATGGGCTGTAGGTCAGAGGCCTCTTGGAATGCATGTGTGGATCTCGTGGGCGGCCTGTTCGGAAGTCTCTCGGAGGCGGTTTCGGGTGTCCTCCTGTGCCTCCGGGGGCCTCCTAGTTCGAGCTCCCCCTCTGGAGCCCCTGTTGGGACCCTCTTGGGCTGTCTTGAGGCCATTTTGGGCCATCTTGGGGACCTCTCGGGCCGTCTTAGAACGCGGGGGCCCGAAAAGGCGAGAACGCACAAACTAAGTATAGTCAATGATTGCGTCCTCTTTGGGGGCCTACTGGAGCCCTCTTGGGGCGTCTTGGGGGTCTCACCTCATATCTCTCATCTCTCTCGTTATCGTTCCCCTCACTTCCCCCCCCATCTCTTCCATTGTCCCCGCTCCGCTAGGAGGACGGCGGAGGAGGCGGCGCAGGAGGTGGAGATGCGGATGAGTAGGAAGGAGAACAGCGGGAAGGGGGAAGACGGGAGGAAAACGGAGGAGAGACAAGGGGGAGTAGAGGGGATGATCCCTTCCCGGCGCCTGGAGGCTTCTGGAAGCCCCTCGAGGCCCGAAAATAATAGAAAAACCTGAGGTCAGCGCCCTCTCCTTCGGCCTCGGTGAGAATCGAGGCTTGCAAGTGCATGATTGGCAAATTGTGTTCCTTGTCTGTCCCCCTCTTCCTCCTCCTCTGCCTTCCGGCATCATCCGCATCAGTACCACGCATCATCATCAGCATCAGCATCAACAGCATCATCATAATCAGCAACATCATCATCACCATCATCACCATCATCATCATCATCATCATCATCATCATCATCATCATCATCATCATCAGCATCATCATCAGCAGCATCATCATCATTAGCATTACCACTGTCATTATCAATACTATTTGTATTATTACTACTACTCGTAAGACTACTACCATTGTGTGATTATTCGTAGATTACCATCTGTATCATCATCATCATTATCAGCATCATCATCATAATCAGCATCATCGTCGTCGTCGTCGTTATTATCATCACCCTCATCATCATCATCTGCATCATCATCATCATCATCATCATCATCAGCATCAGCATCAGCATCAGCATCATCATCTTATTCATCATCAGCATCATCATCATGATCAGCATTACCAGCATCATCATGTCCATGTTCATCTTCACCACTCCCACCACCATCATCATCATCATCATCATCATCATCATCATCATCATCATCACCATCCTCCTCCTCCTCCTCCTCCTCCTCCTCCTCCTCATCATCATCATCATCATCATCCCAGTCCGTGGCCGTTTGGGCTCAGACCGAGTCTTCCATTCTCCCGCACTGCGCCCGTCCGCCTCGGCACCGCGTAGAGCCGCCATGGGCGAGGATGTCTGTGACCCCGAGGCTGCCGGGGGCTGCGCGCACGCGCCGATGGCGGGGCGGCCCAGCGCCCGGAGGGTCCCGAGGTGGCCAGTTGGTACGACTGCGCGTCGCCTGGCAAGGCGGCGGCAGTGGCATGCAGCCGAGGCGGGAGGAGGAGAAGGAGGAGGAGGAGGAGGAGGAGGAGGAGGAGGTGGAGGTGGAGGAGGAGGAGGAGGTGGAGGTGGAGGAGGAGGAGGAGGAGAAGGAGGTGGAGGTGGAGGTGGAGGTGGAAGTGGAGGCGGAGGTGGCTCATGGCAGGGCCGCGAGTCCGCGGCCAGACCAGCCTTGCGGCTCGCCGTGGCAGGGCGGCGGGTGCCCAGCAGAGCGCGGCGGCGCCGGGATGCCGCGCTGCACGCTGCCCGCGCCCATGCAGGCGGCTTCGCGGAGGCATCCCGGGCGGCCCTGGCGTGGGCAGTTTCCGGCCCCAGGCCGAGGGAGGCTTCGGAGGCGCCAGGGGGGCTGGTCGCCGAAGGGTCCGTCGTCGAGATGTTGGCGGCGCGCAAAAGGGGGTAGGGGGAGGGGGGAAGGCTTCTTAGAAGCACCCTGCTTCTTAGAAGGCCTCGGCCTTACGTCTATAGAGAAGGCCCGCGCCTTCTAAGAAGCAGGGGTGCTTCTAAGAAGCCTTCCCCCCTCCCCCTACCCCCCTCTGCGCGCCTCCAAAGATGGGCGAGAAGGTGCGCTTCGCGGAGGTCGACCGCGCCGAGTCAGAGGCCGCCCTGTGCGACCCAGCAGCCAGGCCCTGCACGGGGACCAGTGCAGCAGCGGGTTCAGTTGCGCGGCGGGCCACGGGGGAGGCCGCCGCGAGCCCTTGGCTGTCCCCGGCGCATTCTGAGCCCGAGGAGGCTCCGAGATGGAGGAGGAGGCGGCGACGGAGTTGGGTGGCATCCCCTCTTGCCCAACCCTCGGGTAGCTTGGCGAGGTTGGGTACGATCACGACGGCTGCGGCGGCTGCGACGACGTCGGTGCGCTCGGGTACGCGGAGACGTCCACGGAGCCACCGACGACCGTGGCGAGGTGGCAGGGCGACCGCATCAGCGCCGAGTGGCGGCTGGTGGCTCCCGCCCCGGATGCCCTAGAACCCGACAACACGGTGGGCACGATGGCGTCCTGTGAGGCCGCATGGGAAGAACGCGCCGCTGTGCTGGGCGGTCGCATTCTGGCGGGAGGTGGGTGGGCAGCCTCGCACCTCTGCCCGAATCCGACGACGGCCACGACGGCTATGATGATGCCATCTGTACCTACGTGGGGGAGCAGGATGGGGATGGCGATGGAGGATCGCGGTGCGTTCGAGGGCTCGCACATATCATCGCGCAGTTGCCACTCGTGCCACGCCCGCCTTCGCACTCTACGCGCACAATATTCCTTCCGCGTGGGAGATCTGGAGGTTTTTCAGGTCGCGCACGGCCCCAAGCTTGCCGAGTGCCTCGATGACGTTAGTAAGTTCGTGAAGTTGCAGTCTGAGAAGCGGTCGGAGGAGATGGGCATCGCGGAGTTTGGCCCGTACGTGGCGCCCCAGACATGCAGGGGCTCAAGCCGCTACCTCGCCCGACGAGTGCAGATCAGAGACGATTGGTTCGGAGGTATCCTCCTGCTCCCTTTGCCCGGCGATTGAATGGAAGACCTCGCCGCCGCAACGGCAGAGAAGTCGGGGCGGCGGGAGCCGCATGTCTGGACGACCTCCTGGACGACGTTTCGGCCAGCTATGGTTCGCATGGCTGAGGAGTTACCGTGGACGGCCGGTGCGGGGGGCATTCGGCGGCGCTGGACTAGCGGCCACGGACGAGGGAGGTGTCCTCGGCCTGTCGCCCTCTTCTCACTGGGTGCGCATCCTGCTGAGTACTGCAGTGGTTTTCTTCGCGGGCGCAGCGTGTGCATGCGCAGTTCCGTGGCTTCGTTACTGTGGGCGTGCGGCCAGCTCTGCGCACTCGGTGTGGCTGCACCCGCGCGTCCGGGACCCCGCGCCTGCCCAGCTCGCTGCCCTCTCTGCTCTGGCAGCGTTATCCAATCCTGCCGCGGCTCGGGACGGAGGAGGAGGAGGAGGAGGAGGAGGAGGAGGAGGAGGAGAAAGAGGAGGAGGAGAAAGAGGAGGAGGAGGAGGAAGAGGAGGAGGAGGAGGAGGAGTCTTGTCCGACGAGTGCGGCGCTGATGAAGCTGCGGCGCTCACGGCTCGGGACCCATCGCTCCGTCGAGCGCGGCGCCGTTCGGTGGGGAGGGGCCCTGTGGTGCAGGCGCAGCCCCTGGCGGGCTCCGCGCACTCCTGGGTGCCCTCACGCCGCTTCTGCTCGGGGCGCCAGGCGGGTCCGAGGATCGCGACTGCCCGCGACGAGCGGGCGTGCCACCCGGGAGGGGTACCCCGTGCCGTAGGCTGCCCCCCTGCGGGGCCCGGCACACGCCGGGGGCCGCTCCCCTCCCGCCCCTCCCGGGCTCGGTGCTTCTCGTGCTGGCGCCTGAAGCGGCTCGGGGCCCTGCGGTCCAGTCCACGCGGGCGCCGCGCCCATCCCAGCTCGAGTGGGCCTGCCTACTGCTCTAGCTGAGCGAGCCGCCGTGACAGGGGAAACGTCGCGCGAGGACTCGCTTCGGCTGGAGTGTGGCGTCTCGTTTCCACTCTCGGGTGGGCGGTCTGCGAGAGCGCGACCGGGCGCACGAGGCCGAGTATTTGCTACCGCAGGAGCGAGGAGCTCCTGACGTCCCGCGACGAGTGGATGCTCATCATGTCCATCATCACCATCACCATCAGCAGCAGCATCCACATCCCCATCATTGCTATCGTCACCATCGTCTTCGCGCTCCTCCTTCGTGGGGATGATCATCATGTTCATCATCACCACCGTGTGGGGATGATCATCATGTTCATCATCACCACCACCATCAGCAGCAGCATCCTCATCCTCATCATCGCCATCGTCATCATCATCTTCGTGCTCCTCCTTCGTGCCCCCCCCCCCGCCGCCGCGCACTCCCGTCGGGCGCCACCCAGGGGCCGAGCCGTACCCGATGCAGGGCTGCCAGAAGTTCGTGCTGAAGTTTCCGCGGAAGGCCACGTGGCCCGTGGCGTCCTTGACGACGATGACGACGATGTCACCGACGCCGCTGTCGACGTCGCCCGCGACGAGGCCGACGTTGACGACGATGCCGGCCACGACGCCGATATCCGATATCGGCGAAGCAGATCGAGGAAGAGGAATATCGAGGCTTCGAGGCGCCCTGGGCCCTCCCCGTGAGCTTCGGGAGGCCTCCGTGAACCTCCGGAAACCTCCGAGGTCCCCCAGGGCTCGCTCGTCGAGCTCATCGACGAAGCCCACGACGGCGACGACGAGGCCTGCGGGGCCGACGTCGCGACGACCGAGGGTTGAGCTTCAGTGTTACGTTTCTCGCCGTGGGCCTTGAGGCGCCCTCGCGGCCACGGCGCCACGGCCGGGCTCGTCTCAGGACTCTCATCCAAATGCGCCCCAGGACAATTTCCGGTCGGACTTCCTGCTGCACCCCCACGAAGAATTACACGCTGGTTACTGAAAGTAGGTATTCCTGGATATCCAGATCCCGATATGATTCTAGCGCCTGCTCGTGTCAAGAATCGGTAGGGTTTGCCCTGTTTTGCCAGTCCCTGGGGGGGGCCTGAACCTAACCTCTTTGGTCCGCCCTCCTGTGGCATGGTTTCGCTTGTTCCTCCCGACCAGCGCGTGAGCCTGCAGGGCGGGAGAGACGGCCCGCCCCCAGGGGGATTTTTTTTGCGCGCAGATGTTGCACAACCAGTGGGCGTTCGGGGTGTTGCCTCCGCGGGGGTCGGTAGCAATCGAGGAGTTCGTGGCCACGGGGGCGTAGTGGAGGGTTTCTCCGAAGGGCTTAGGCGACCCCTCCTCCTCCTCCTCCTCCTCCTTCTCCTCCTCCTCCTCCTCCTCCTCCTCCTCCTTCCCCTCCTCCTCCTCCTCCCCTCCTCCCCCTCCCCCTTCCTCCCCCTCCCCCTCCCCCCTCCTCCTCCCCCTCCTCCTCCTCCTCCTCCTCCTCCTCCTCCTCCTCCTACCAGATGCACCAACCCCACAAAGTTGGCGACAGACGGTCATCACAGTCATTCCCCAAACAGGCGACCTTACACAACCTCAGAACTACCGACCAATGTGTAGCATACCTTCATTATACAAGCTCTTCAGCAAACTTCAGTACATCAGACTGCAACCGCAGTCAGACAAGCAGCAACCTCCTGACCAAGCAGGCTTCCGCCCTGGGCGGTCCACGCAAGACCATTTGTTCACGTTCCACATTCTCCGGGAAAGAGCACGCGAGTGGAACCAGCCCCTTTGGATCGCAGCACTCGGCTTCAACAAAGCATTCGACATTGGAGCACGAAAGTTTCTGGGCGGCACTTGAAAGCCAGGGCATCACAGCAGACTACATCCACCTGTTAAAGCGGCTCTGCTCTGAGCGAGCAGCGACAGCACAAACAGACTCAGCCAGCCGCCCATTTCATCTACTCAGAGGCACGAAACAGGGTGACCCGCTCAGGTCACTCCTCGCCACTTCGCTCCTTGAGTACATAATGCGACCGCTCGTCACCAAATGACAAAAACGCACCCAAGGAGTCCAACTTGGATTCTCACCAGAATGCTGCCTCACGAACCTTCGCTTCGCTGACGACGTTCTCCTTATTAGTCGGACGCTCCCTCGCCTCGCCACTATGCTCAAGGACATGGCCGCAGCAGCACGGACGTATGGTTTTCATATGCATCCTGATAAAACGAAGATCCTGTCCAGCTTGTCAGAACGCACGGGGAGTGAAAGTCAGCGCAAGATGGCAATCCACGGCCTCGACATCGAGATTTTACCATACTCTGGTTCAGTGAAGTATCTGGGTCAGCGCATCAGCTTCGACGACACAAGTGCCACAGAGGTAAAGACCCGCCTGAAGGCAGGGTGGGCAACTTTCACAAATCACAGACAAGAGCTCACTGGAAAGCATTATCCGCTGAAACAGCGACTCCGTCTTTTTGACGGCGCGGTCACGCCGACTGTTCTCTATGGCGCAGGTATTTCGACGTTGACTGAGCTTTTGCGACAGCAGCTACAACGCACACAACGGCGCATGCTGCGCATGGTTATCTGCGCCCCTCGACGACGAAACACCGACGTCAGACCAACGCCCGGCGCAACCAGCCCACAAGAGCCACCTTCGACACCAGTTCTAGTATCCGGCACAGACAGCACCGACGGACAAAACGTGGACAGCAACCCACCGACCGCCTACTTGAGAAACGAAACCGACGACGCGGATCACGACAATACCGACGACAGCCAGGACGACCAGCCAAGAAACGACGGGTTGAATACATCAAGCGAGCGACTCGACAAGCGGAGGTCCTCGCGCAAAAATATACACTACACGATTGGGTGGCAATGCAAAAACAGATGGTATGGAGATGCACAGCCCGCGTTGCGAAGCAATTACCAAATGAATGGCCACAACGTGTTTTCCATTGGCACCCGAGCCTTCACGCTTCCCAGACTGGACAGCGTCATCATGGAGGACAGTGGAAGAGATGGGACGATGATATCCGCGGATTTCTCCGCCAGCTCCACGACGCAGACAACCAACGCCAGACGCCGCGAAGGCACTACGACCTCAACGGCATCACGTGGCTACAACCGGCTACGACACAGTAGTGGGATCAAATGGAAAAGAATTTCGTGAAGTACGTACGTTCCTGAGTAGGCGACCGGCCGGCGCAATTTCTCACGCGAGGACAGGCACATTTAGCAGCAGCAGGATTGCCTCATCAGGGCCAGCCTCAAGTTTCACATCCAGCTCGGCCTTCCGACCTCCACCCTCCATCACCCCACTCCCCACTTCCATCTCCACCTGTCGACCTCCAGCGCCCACCACTTCAGCATTCCGACCTCCAGCCCCTAGCGTTCGCCCCCCCGTTTCCACTTCCATCTTTCGACCTCCCAACCTCCACCAGCTCAACATTACGGCCTCCAGCCTCTTGCATCTGACTTTCCACCTTCACCTCCACCCATCGACCTCCAGCGCCCACCAGGTCAGCATTCCAACCACCAACCTGCAGCATTTGATTTTCCACATTCACCTCCACCTATCTCGACCTCCAACAACCATCAGCTCCACATTGCGACCTCCAACCTCTAACATCCGACTCTCCACTTCCAGCTCCACCAATGGACCTCCAGCGTACACCAGGTCAGCACTCCGACTTACAATCTCCAGCATCCAACTCTCACAGCAGACACAAGCAGGCAGTTTGGCTCAAACACTTTTCGCACAAGCAGGCAGTTTTGGCACGCCAGCCGTTCGTGTATTGTATACGCTTGCACCCTGTTGCGACAGCTGTGTGCATTCCTGAGTGGCAGAAGGACGCGCACATGTTACTTCATACTGGCCGTGCAAAAATCTCCAGCATCCGACTCTCCACTTCCGCATCCACCTATCGACCTCCAGCGCCCATCAGCTCAGCATTACGACTTCCAACCTCTAGCATGCGACTCTTCACTTCCACCTCCACCGATCGTCTTCCCTACTTCCACTAGCTCAACATCACGACCTCCGACCTCTAGCGTCCGACTTTCCACTTCCACATCCACCTATCGACCTCCAGCGTCCATCAACTCAGCATTACGACCTCCAACCTCTAGCGTGCGACTCTTCACCTCCACCTCCACCGATCGACTTCCCTAGCTCCACTAGCTCAACATTACGACCTCCGGCCTCTACCGTCCGACTTTCCACTTCCACATCCACCTATCGACCTCCAGCGTCCATCAACTCAACATTATGACTTCCAACCTCTAGCATGCGGCCCATCACTTCTACCTCCACCGATCGACTTCCAGCGCCCACCAACTCAGCACTCCTACCTCCAACCCCTAGAATCCGACTCTCCACTTTCAACTCCACCGATCGACCTGCAACGTTCACCAGCTCCTCATTAAGACCTCCAACCTCCAGCATGCGACTTTCCGCTTCCACCTCCACCGATCGACCTCCCAACCTCCACCAGTTCAGCATTCCAACCTCCAACCTCCAGCATCTGACTCCCCACTTCCTCCTCTACTAATCGACCTCCAGCGTCCACCAGGTCAACACTCCGACGTGCAATGTCCAGCACCCGACTCTCCACCTCCACTTCCACCTATCGACCTCCAACGATCACCAGGTCAACATTAAGACCTCCACTCTCCAGCATCTGACTCTCCACTTCAAGCTCGACCAATCGACCTCCAGCGTCCACCAGCTCAGCGTTCCGACCACAAACGTCTAGCACCCGACTTTCGATCCACCTCCACCTATCGGACTCCAGCGTCCAACAGCCCCGCATTCCGACCTCCAGCATCTAGCATCCGACTCTCCACTCCCACCTCTACTTATCGACTTCCGACGCCCAGCAAATCAGCATTCCAACAACCAACCTTTAGCATCCGACTCTCGACTTCTACCTCCGCCAATCGACCTCCACCCTCCACCAGCACAACATCCCGACCTCGAATTTCTAACCTCCGACTTCGCGTTTCCACCGCCAATCGACCTCCAGCTTATGTGCCTTCGGCTGCGCGTGTATCTGCGCCCTGAGTGGTATTTGAAGGATGTGACTGGATTGGAATTCCGAGGCGTCCAACTCGTTCGTGTTTGGCTTCGGCTTCGCGGTTACAGAAAGGACGATGACATCCACGGGATTATCCGACAGGTTCATGACACAGACACTGCGACTTCAACGAAACTACGTCACTACATCGGGCTACAACAGAGGAGCGGGAACACTTAGAACATCAACATGTGAGGTACGCATTATCCTGAGCAAGCCTCCGACGCGCGCTGCCTCTCATGCGAGGCCATGGCCTCACCCGCCTCGCCCTTAAGGGCCCGGGCGCATGCCCGCACAGGCGATCCGATCCGATCCGATCCTCCTCGGGTCGCCTACGGCCCCGGGGGAAACCGTGCAGGGCGCAGATCACTCGTAGTTTTACGTGCCCCAGGAGCCTGGCAGCGCGTGGGTCACGGCGGGCCCCTAGGGAGAAGCTTGCACGCAGAT